CAGACAGAGAGAGACATAGAGACAGAAAGCGAGAAATCACCCCCCAGAGGGGATGGTCACGCCGCAATCCCTTCTCCTCCATTCTCCTCTCGGGATCTTGGGCACGCACACACACGCGCCCAGCGTGAGTTTTAAGCCACCGGGTCCAGGACCCGAACCGCGGTCGACTATGTGGGAGTCCAGCGACATAGCCATTACGCTAACTGCTGGTTCCCTCCCTCTGTCTCTTTCTGGTGAGGGAAAGGACAAAAGCCCCCCCAAGAGGGGCATGGTTACACTGTATTCCCTGCACCATTTCTCTAGCTCATCAGGATTTGGGGTATATACGTACCTGCACCTGCTGTTTTATTCAAGCCATAGGACTGGAATTCGAACTGTGTATTCAACGATGTAGGATCTGCCTCCCTTAAGATACTCATAACCAGGACCAGCAGTTGGCGTAATGGCTATGTCACTAGACTTCCATGTAGTCGACCGTGGTTTGAGTCCTGGACCCGGTGGCTTAAGCTCATACTGTGTGCATATGCGTGCATGCCCAAGATCCCGAGAGGAGAAGGGATTGTGGTGTGGCCATCCTACTGGGGGGGTGATTTTTCACTTTCTGTCTCTATCTTTCTGGCAAACACATGTACCCTATAGCAAAAACCTCTCCAAAAAAAAAAAGATACTCATAACCACGTGGGAAAAGGCAGGCTCTGCTTCCGGAGGTTGAGCAGAGCCTGTCCAGCTCTATCTGGTGCCGATAACTTTGCTACAAGGACTTCACTCCACAGGGAGCATGTCTGCAGGGGTGAGAGTGGGCCTGAAGTAGAGCTTACATATTACAGGTGCTAGGATGGGCCTACGGTGGAATGTTTGTGTGTCATTAGTGTCAAGATGGATCTAGAGAGGTGTGTGTGTGTGCACGTGCATGCATTTGTACAACAAGCATCAGGATGGGCCTGGAGTGAAGTGTGTGTGTATGTAAGTGTTGTGGGCCTAAGTAAGGACCTGGAGTGGAGTGTGTATCACAGACATCAGGATGGGCCTGGAAGGGGTACGTGTGCGTACATATGTGTCAAGGCATCAGTAAGTGTTTGGACTAGAGTGTGTATGACACCAATAGCAGGCTGAGCCTGGAGTGGAGAGAGTGTGTAGTGTGTCACAGACATCAGTAAGGCCAAGGGGGACATATGTGTTACATTTGTTAGGATGATCCTGGAGTGGAAAGAGAGAGAGAGAGAGAGAGAGAGTGTGTGTGTCTTTCAGGAGTTAAGATGGGCTTAGGGTGGAACACATGTGTTTGCCTGTGTCAGGATTGGTCGGGAACCCTTCAGTGTCTTGCCTGACTTTGGGGGCTCTGTGGTAGAAAGGAGCATTTCAGGCTCATCCTTGTTAATCTGAGATTCTAGGTCTCTTTTGGAGGGGTTTAGGTAGTGGGAATTTTTTTGTTGCTCCTTAAAAAGTACCATTATTTAGGATAAAAGAATTGAAAAAAAACAAAACTTTTTTTTGGAGAGGTTTTTGCTATAGGGCTCGTGTGCACGCCAGCCAGACAGAAAGAGACAGAAAGAGAGAAGTTACCCCCCAGGGGAGATAGCCATGCCACAATCCCTTCTCCTCCATTCTTCTCTCGGGATCTTGGGCACGTGCGCACATGCACCTATGCGCCTAGCATGAGTTCGAGTGAGTTTGAGTCCCAGTTCTGGGTCTCAAACCCCAGTCGACTACATGGGAGTTCAGCGACATAGCCATTACGCTAACTGCTGGTCCCCAAAAAATAAAATATTAGCAGTTATTTATGCTTCAACCTAACATACCCATTAATTTGTGTAAGAGTTAAGGAGCCTCATAGAGTTTACAAAAATAAGGTCTTGGATTGTTGGTAAAGCCCCCCCTTGCTGTTTGTATTTGGTGTTTCGAGTGTGAAAAGTTGTTGAATGTAAAGCATGAGCAGCTCTTTGCCTGGGATTGCTAAGCCTGTACACACACGTCCATAGTAGGTTCTTTGCAAAGGCAGTGGTGGGCGTATAGAATAAAAGTAGGGGTTAGTAGTCATGCAGTGGTGGAAACACTTGTACTCCGATTCTGGCGTCTGGAGTCCTCCCTGAGTATACCAGACATGCATGGGCCTGTGAGCTTGTGCTGACTGCGGCTAGGTGGGTCGTAGTGCCAGGACTCTCTCTCTCTCTCTCTCTCATTCACTCATTCACTCCCACTCTCTCAGTCACTCACTCTTGGAAGAAATAAACTTGGGCCCAGCAGGTGGTGTGATAATTATGGCACTAGACTTCCACATGGCCAACTGCAGTTTGAATTCTGACCTGGCGGCTTGCTTGCTCTCTCTCTCTCTCTCTCGTCAAATAATATTAATAAGTAAAATTAAAATTTATTTAAAAAATAGAACACACTGCTCCACACTTAAAATTGACAAATTTAAAAAAATGTAAAGGGGCCAGCAGGTGGCATGATTAAGGCGCTGGACTCCCACATGGCTGACCTCAGTTAAGAGTCCTGGACTGGGTGGCTTGAAACTCACATGCAGTATGTGTGTGCCCAAAATCCTGAGAGGAGAATGGAGAAGGGATTGTAGCGTGGCCATCCCCCCAGGGGTTGACTTCTCACTTTCTGTCTCTCCGGTGAGCACATGTGCCCTATACCGAAAATCTCTATAAAAGAAAAATACTTAAAAATAAAAGGAAACAAACTTTAAAAAGGACAAAAATAGATACGGTGGAAATAGAAAAGACAGATCTTTCAAAATTTCCCACGACAGGTCTATATTAACTTTTTTCCCTTTGCAGAGCAGAACTATTGTGAATCTCGGTATCACTTCCTGCACTCTACTGATGGAGAAGGATGTGCTAATATGTTAGTAGAATATTCTACCTCCAGAGGATTTCGCAGCGAGGTGGACATGTTCGTGGCTCAGGCTGTTCTACAGTAGGTATTCAGTATTTACTTTGTCAAATCCTTTATCGAATAACAACTTTGGGTTCCAATAACCGCCTGGAGCAGGTTACCTAGTCACCTGGCTGACATGCTGAATGAAGCATAGTCTTCAAGTTAACGTGGGGCAAAACATGGAGCTCTCATGCCACTCAGCGTGACCGATAATTTGTAATGAACCTGATGTGAAGTTAAGATACTTTTAAAGCTATTTTTTAAGGCTGGATTTGTCTTTCCAGGTATTTCTATGAATTTAAACCTTTATGTAGGCCACAGCCTACACACTGCCTCTAACCAACTTCTTCATTTCCAGTAGATCTTGTGATCTCTCTATTCTAATCAGGCCTTTCTCATCCTTTTTATCTTGAAAATATTGACACACACAGCCAGGTTGTTCACCGACAGGTGGCAGAGAGTCAGTCAGAGGGGCTGGCCCAGCTCCTGAGTGCTCCGCCTTTCCTACCCAGGGTGGAAAGGAAAGCTCTGGAGGCTCTTCCCATTCCCTTTTCTTTCATGTAGTCAAGTGTCCTCCCACAGCAAACCTGATATGGTCTGCAGGATAGGTTCACTCATGGGTGCCTGCTGCACTTGACCTCGCTGCAGAGTTGAGCAGCTGTTATCACTGACATCTGTGATCTAAAAACGAGAAACATGGGCCAGCGGGTAACATGAAGGATAAGGCACTGGACCCCACATGGCTGGCTGTGCCGTTTAAGTCTCAGACCCGGCAGCTTAAAAATCATGCCAGAGTGTGTGTGTCCATGCCCAAGATCCCAAGAGGAAAGAAGAGGAGAAGGGATTATGGTGTGGCCATCCCCCCAGGGCATGGTTTCTTACTTTTCCTCTCTGTCTCTTCAGAGAGTGCACATGCCCTAAAGCAAAAATATTTTTAAAAAATCCAAAGCTTGGGACCAGCAGTTGGCGTAATGACTATGTTGCTGGACTCCCACGTAGTCGACTGTGGTTCGAGTCCCAGACCCAGTGGCGTAAACTCACACCAGGCGTGTGTGTGTGCGTGCCCAAGATCTCAAGAGGAAAATGGAGAAGGGATTGTGCCATGGCCATAACCCCTTGGGGGTGATTTCTCACTTTCTGTCTCTCTGTCTCTCTCTCTCTGTGTCTTTCTGGTGAGCACACATGCCCTATAGCAATAAACCTCTCAAAAAAAAAAAAAAATCCCAAACTTCTTGCCCTGGTGCATCTGTGGTAGTCCTGGCCCAGCATATGAGGTCCTTTACCTTCCCCACTGGGTATATGCTGGGGCTGCCCAAGTGCCATCCTACCTAAGAAGGACCAGGATCTGGCCCTGGCCTAGCCCAAAATTGGTTCTTCACAGCCCTTTTCTACCTTGACCTAGGCTGAGAGTTCTGCAGACTGGTGTCTAACAGGTGCGCACAGGTGTGGATGCAGCTCATGCTCTTGCTCCACCATCTCATAGTCTTTTGACAAGCTGTCACCTGTAAATTATAAGTGTCCATAGTGCTGCTGTGCACGTGAGGGGCAGCACGTATGAAGCACAGGACCTGGGAAGGAGCTGGATAGCTTGTGCTATCGTCACACAAGGTTTTTTGAGCCTGCAGCAGCTTTAAGTGTTCAACACTCAGCATTTGTAGAGACCTCTATTCCTTTGGTATTTCCACCCACTAAGTTATTCTTATTACAGGTTTCTCTGTTTAAAAAACAAAAACAGCGCATCAGTGGTCTTCACGACATACACACAGAAACATCCGTCCATCGAGGATGGACCTCCGTTTGTACAACCCCTGCTCAATTTCATCTGGTTTCTGCTGTTGGCTGTGGATGGGTACGTTTTATTTGTTTAGGGTGTGCGTGTGTGAGTAGAGTGTGTATGTACAGGTATGAGTGAGTATGGATGAGTGCGTAGGTGTACAGGTGTGTGATGTGAAAGCCTAGAGATATGTGATGCAGCACAGGTGTGGGTATTTGTTTAGATCCCTTTGTAGGTGTGAGTGTGTAAAGACGAGTGTGTAGTTATGCATAGATATTGGGGGAGTGTGTGTATGGTGTTTCTGTTGTGTTTTCTTTTTCTCTGCCAGAAACTAACGTGTCGGCTTTCTTCCTGCCAGCGGCAAGCTGACGGTGTTCACAGTGCTGTGTGAACAGTATCAGCCATCCCTTAGGAGGGACCCCATGTACAACGAGGTGAGGGGCTCACAGTGCTGGGTTCAGCTGGTAGGCACCGGGCCACAGGCATAGAGGGAGGGGAGAGGAGTCCTCACAGGGCACCTTGGGCCTCGTCAGTTCTGGCACATTCCATTCCTCAGTGACCTGCTGCCCTTGCTTCTTTCAGTACCTCGACAGGATAGGACAGCTCTTCTTCGGTGTGCCACCCAAGCAGACGTCTTCCTACGGTGGCTTGCTAGGTAAGCCCAAGACAAAGTTGCCGGTGTTGCCCTTCTGCCCGCAACTCTGCGGGCCCCTACCTAGCCTCATGGGCTCCCTGTGCTGGCACACCTCTAGATCCTTCTTGGCATACCCCCAAAACAGCAGTATCCCTTGAGACCCTCTCCATTGGCCACAGTCAAAGCCACATGTGTGCTGCAGCCTGGGGTCTGGTTCCCTTGACAACTCCCAGGCTGGTTTATGCTGAGTGTGAACATCTCTCCACCAGGGCAGAGGCCAGTGCGGTCCATCACATAAAAGTGGTTTTTATCATCTCTCTTTTTTATTTTTAAAGAATTATTTTATTTGTCATTATTATAATATTTAATTTGCTACAGGGCATGCACACTCACCAGAGAGAGAGAAAGTGAGAAAGCAAGCCGTCAGATCTGGGACTCAAACTGTGTTCGGCCATGTGGGAGTCAAGTGCCCAACCACCACACCATGTGCTGGCCCTCTATGATCTTTATATTTTGCATGTTTTGTGTTTGGGATAGTAAATCATTCCACCAAGTTCACAACGCAAAAACACCCCCCTTCTGCCCTGTCTCCCTGCTTTGCAGCTCAAGGTTTCTTTTGCTCCTTGGCAGAGGGGACCTTGTCCTTGACTGCCTCTCCATCTGTGGTGCTGGGCTGTGCCCACTGGCTCTACCTCCTGACTTCTACCTGCTGAAGCTTGCCTGGTGCAGACAGGCTTACCCGGCACTGGCCACCACATGCACCACGGCTGTGCTGTTGGAGGCAGTGCTGCTGTATGTGGCTGTGTCCATGTGTCAAACACACCTCAGGAGGGGCCTGGGTCAGCATAGGGCATGCATTTATAGTTCTCATGGAGACACTGGCTGCACTCCATGGAAAGCTTTCCTCACTGAGGTTACCTCAAAAGTCGTTTTATGATGGGACCAGCAGTTAGCGTAATGGCTCTGTCGCTGGACTCCCATGTAGTCGACTATGGTTCGAGTCCCGGACCTGGTGGCTTAAACTCACGCTGGGTGCGTGTGCATGCATGCCCAAGATCCCGAGGGGAGATCACTCCTGGGGGGGTGATTTCTCGCTTTCTGTCTCTCTGTCTCTCTCTGTCTCTCTGGCGAGCACACACGCCCTCTAGCAAAAACCTCTCAAAAAAAAAAGTCATTTTATGTTTTCCTTTTAAATTTTGCTTGGAGTTTTAGTGGAAGCATGAGGTAGAGACTTACCTGCATTTCTACTTCAGTCATCTGTGCAGTGAAGTGGCCCTGCCTTGTGCTCCCTAAATCCCCACATGTCGTTGGGCATGTGCAGGAGCTTGTCCATCTGTGAAATGAGGGTGGCGTGTCTTAGCACACGAGAGGTGGTTGCACGTTCTCACATCTCCCAGGTTTCATCTCCCCGTAGCACTTTCCATCAGAAGTGTCCTGTGTCTTCATTCTCATAGTTTTCCATCAACTTCAGAACTGACTTCTCCATCCCCCCAGAAGTGCTCTTGGTATGTTTATTGAGATTCCGTTAACGTGATAGATCAAGAAAGAGTCTCCATCCTTATGACTGTGTCTTTGTGTCCAAAGAACATTGGTTAGCTTTCCAGTTGTTCCCTTTCCCTCACAGCATTGATTTGGATTAAGGGAACTTTTAAAACTTTGTATTTACTTAATAGTTATTCTACAGATTCAATTAGATAAGTAAAAAAGACATGTCAGTGGTGGCAACACCCAAGGATGACAGCTGCATTTTTCTCTGTAGCCTTTGAACTGTTGGCGCATCTAGCTTATTCCTGTGTGACTACAAGAATACGCATATGTTTCCTAGCTTTCTCTTGAATTGAAGGCGATCTTTCTGTGACATCATTTTATTTAGTTCTTTAGGCTTCTCTGGATAACAGTACCATGTCTCCTACTGATAGATATTTAGAGTTCTTTTCTTTTTTCTCTTACAAAGTCATGCAGCAGACTGTGTTTCTCTTTCATGGTGGAGCACATTTCACTCATGCACCTGAGAGAGTAAGAGAGGGAGGAGTGCCCTCCACAGGGTCTGGTCATGCTATGATCTCCTTCCTCTATTTCTCCAGCCTCTAGTTCTGTTGGATCTTGGGCACTTGTGCGTTGCCTGGCATGTCTTGGTTGACTGGGCCAGAGATTCGAACCAAGGTCACCATGTGGGATCCGGCTTCCGTTGAGCAGCATGTTGAGCATTGTCCCACAGAGCTGGCTCAGCACTGACCTTTCCTTTACATCAGCTGCGTGTCCTCTGGGAAGTCCTAGCCTGGGGTCCCCGGTTGCAGCACAGGCATTGCAAGGCTTCACATATCTTGTCAGACCCCTTCCCCAGCAACCTGGCACAGCTAGTGCTTTCCTCTGGGAAAGTGTGCTTTCTTGGGGAGGGCCAACCAAGAAGAGCTGCTCTGGCAGCTCACCACTGCCGTGGTGTGTCTCCTTCCAGGGAACCTCCTGAGCAGCCTCATGGGCTCCTCGGAGCAGGAGGAGGGGGAAGAGAGCCAGGATGACAGCAGCCCCATCGAGCTGGACTGAAGCTGCTCCCGGGCCTGCATGGAGATGCCCACGGCGACAGCTCAAGGGATGGTTTCCGGTGCGAGTCCTGGATGTGGCTCCTCACACCAGCAGGCTCCTGGCTCTGAGGCTGGCAGTGCCGAGTGTCGGTGTCTGTCTCTATTTATGTACAGCGGATAGGGCTTTGTGGCCTGCCTGCCGCTGTGCGACTGGACTTGAGGGCGAGGCCCAGGCTTCTGCTGCTGACCGTGTTCCCTTCAGATTGACCACAATAAAGCACAGGCCTTACTGCGGCATCACCCTGCCCAGTCCTTTGTTTCTAGTTCCTTTGGTGAGGGCTGAGGGGGGACACAAAGGTGGCCTGCTGTCAGTAACTGGACAATCGCACTTGGCGTCTCCCATACCTAGTGTCCAGCACAGCCTGCGGTGTGCCAAAAGAGGCTGTGGCCACTCACACGGGAACCGAGCCAGGCCTCCTGTGGTCTTACAAACTAGAGCGGTTTTCTTGTGTACCTTGTTTTTGTTTTGAGCACGGGGTTGTTCTGCAGTCACGGTGTGCTTGTCCCCATTGCAGCCGGAGTGCATGTGAGCTGTGCTCCTTGGAGGTGGCGAGCAGCTGGCCAGCCCAGTGCCCACACGGTGCTCAAGGCTGTAGCCATGGGCCCACTGGTGTCCTGGTGTGGCCTGTGAGGTCACTCCATGCGAATCCCATGGCCCTGCTGGTCTCTGCAAGCACCACCTTGCTGCTCTGGAAATGTTTTTAAAAAGGGTTATTGTAGAACTTTGCATTTCCTTCATAATGCAGTATTTATTTTTCTGGGGGTGATTGATTCCTTTAACCTAACATTTTAGGTTTTAACCAAATAACCAGTCCGGGAACTAGCAGATCTGTCCTTTATCACTATTGGATGCTATTCCAGATGTTACCAGTATAATTATAAAAGGGGAAACACTTTATTTTTTCACAATTAAAATAAGAGTTGTAGATTAATACACAATGATCATGCATGGGAAGGGGGAAATATACAACTTTATTAACTGTAAAAATGGAATTTAAAGGAAGGTTTGTGTTAATTGTTGCGCATAAATAAATCCTTTATACTGGGTTTCGCAGCACTGGTCCTTTCTGAATGAGCTCTGGGGTCTAGGTATTGACTCTCCCAACCCTTGGCATGGGTCTCAGGTGGGGCTCTGGGTACAGAGCATGGGGTAGGGGGGATGATCTGCTGCTCTTTGACTCTGCTCTGCCCCTTGGGAAAATCTAAGCCTTCCTGCTCCTGGGAGGAAGGGGGCGGAGCGGGGAGGATGTGAGCAGAGGCCTTGCCAGGCTCCCTTGAGAAAGCATGTGCTGGGACCAGTGTTTTCCCAGCCTGCCCCTGTGTGAATGGAGTGAAGTGCAACAAGTGGCAATGTTGGGTAAGTCTTGGCTGTGATTTTAGAAATAAATATAGGTGTGTAACTTCTTTGACATTTCAAATATCGTATCCATCAAATTATGGGTATTGTGAATTCAAAGAATAGGCCTTCAGGATGCAGGAGAGGTAGGGGCTGCCTGTCATTGCTAGACCCCCCCAGTCTACCGCATGGCTCTAGTTACTGGGAGGTGAAAAGCTCAAGGCACTTCTCATAGGAGATGATGTTGGAGGCAGGTTCTGAGGAAGAGTGAGGTGGGCTGGGGGATGTGGAATGGCCGAACCCAGGCCGGAACACGCCCATTCTGCTGTACTGCTGGTTTCGAAGTCACAGATTGTGCCAGCGTGATCAGTATGTTTGGGAGCAGTTAGAACAATGCAGATTTTGTTTCTGAATGCTTTTGCTCAAGATTAACGCTAGATGTACACAGAAGGAGCCAGCCAGGTGGAACTGTGCCGTGGCTCCCATTCACTGCAAGCAGTCTTGTCCCCCAGTGCAGCGGTCCGCGTCACACGCGGACTTCAGGACTTCTCAAGGGGAAGTGCCACGTTAATTGTATACTTGTAACCATCTAACACCTGAGATGTCATTCCCATGATGCTTGGGAGGGGGGGCGGGTAGCGGTGGCTGTTCCTGTGTCCCTGTGTCCAGACTCTGCATTGTTGGACAGTGCGGTGGTACGTGGCCTGCATCTGCTCAGCAGGGGAGGTCTTCACAGAACCAGATGGCAACTTTTGCCAGTTTCTTGCCTTATTTGCAAATTCCTTTCCCAGGAATTTTTCCAGTTGCCCTATGGTTCCCTTTTTCTTTCTTTCTATTTTTTTTATTAACATAATGTACATATTTGTGGGGGTATGATGGGATTTTTCAGTACATGAATACAGTGTGTAACAATTCAATGAGGGTAATTAGTATACTCATCATCTTAGATGTTGGTCAGTACTTTGTGCTGAAAGCATTCAAAACTCTCTTCAGTTACTCTGAGATAAACAGGAAGAAGTTAACTATTTACCTTACTGTATTTTTCAGCACTAGAAATTATTCCTCGCATCTATCTGTACTTTCATTTCTGTTAATGAGCGTTCCTCTACCTCCACCATTCTTCCCAGCCTCTAGTCATCTCTCTACTTTCCCGAGCTTGTGTTTGGGTTTTTTTCCAGTTTCTACATATGAGAGAGAACATGTATTTCTCTTCCTCTTCCTTGCTTATTCACTTAATACACTCTAGGCTCACCCATTTAACTTTAAATGACAGGAGTTTGTCCTTATAAATGGCTGTACAATGCTTTTTTTGCTATACCACATTTTCTTTTATTTTTTAGAATTATTTATCATCATTATTCTTTTTCTTTTTTTTTTTTTTTTAATTTTTGCTTAAGTGCATATGTGCTCACCAGAGAAAGAAACAAAGCCATCAGGTCCAGGACTCGAACTGTGGTCAGCTATGTGGGAGTTCAGCGCCACAACCACCACACCACATGATGGCTCCATTATACCACATTTTCTTTTTTCTTTCTTTCTTTCTTTCTTTCTTTTTTTTTTTTTTTTGAGAGGTTTTCACTATAGGGCACGTGCGCTCGCCAGATAGACAGAGAGAGACATAGAGACAGCGAGAAATCACCCCCCCAGGGGGGATGGGCACGCCGCAATCCCTTCTCCTCCATTCTCCTCTCGGGATCTTGGGCACGCATGCACACGCACCTGGCATGAGTTCTAAGCCACCAGGTCTGGGACGCGAACCGTGGTTGACTACGTGGGAATCCAGCGACATAGCCATTACACTAACTGCTGGTTCCCTATACCACATTTTCTTTATCCATTCATCTGTAGTACACTTAGGTTGATTCCATGTCTTGGTTATTGTGAATAGTGTGCTACAGTAAACACTGGGGTAAAGATACCTTTGTTGCTTACTGATTTACTTTCCTTTGGATAGTTGCCTAGTAGTGGGATTGCTGCATCAGACAGCAGTTCTATTTTAGGTTTTTGAGGAACTTCCATACTGTTTTTCATAGTGGCTATACTGATTTACATTCCTACCAACAGTGTAAAAGACTGCCCCTTTCTCTGCATCCTTGCCAGCATTTGTTAGTTTTTTTCCTTTTGATAATAGCTATTCTGAGATGAAATGTTGTCTCATTATGGTTTTGATTTGCATTTCCCTAATGATTAGTGATATCAGGCATTCTTTCATAAGTTTGTTGGCCATTAGTATGTTGAATTGTTTATAGTTTATTTGCCCATTTTTTTAAAAAAAAGGTTTTTTTGCTGCTAAGGTGTTTGAGTTATATATTCTGGTCCCTTTTTGGGTATATAATATGCAAATATTTTCTCCCATTCTGGGGTTTTTCTCTTAACTCTGATGACTGTTGCCTTTACTGCACAGAAGCATTTTAGTCCGATATCCCATTTGTCTGTTTTACTTTTGTTTCCTGTGCTAATGTCCTGAAGTATTTCCTGTTTTCCTCTAGTAGCTTCATAGTTTCAAGTTTCATCTTTAAATCTTTAGTATATTTGGAGTTGATTGTTTTGTATGGTAAGAGCCATTTATAGGTCTAGCTTTATTGTTCTGCATATGGATGTCCAGTTTTCCCAGCATCATTTATTGAATAGACTTATCTTTTCCCCAATGGATGTTCTTGGCCTCTTTGTTGAAAATCTACCTACTGGGGGACCAGCAGGTGGCGTGGTGGTTAAGGAGCTGGACACTCCCACGTGGCCGACCGCGGTTCGAGTACCAGACCTGGTGGCTTGCTTTCTCACTTTCCCTCTCTCTCTCTGTATATCTCTCTCTGGTCAAATGAAAATAAATGAATGAATAAATAAAATTAAATAATTATAAAAAAAGAAAAGAAAATCTACTGACTTGTATGTATGTGGGTTTATGTCTGTGTTTCTGTTCTGCTCCATTGGTCTTCCTGTCTGTGGAGTTTTTCCCCAGCTCTTTGCTGGTTTTGTTACTGCAACATTATAGTATATTGTGAGATCTGGTAGTATGGTGCCTCTAGCTCCATTCATTTGGCTCAGGATTGTATTGGCTATTTGGGATCTTAGTCATGATTGACATGTCATGATTGTCTTTTTCTGTTTCTGTGGAGTATCATTGGTATATTGGTAGTTATTCCATTGAATGTGTAGGTTGCTTTCAGTGTGATAGTAATTTTAGCAACATTGACTCAACTCATGAACATGAATTTCCTTTTTTTGTGTGTCTTCTATTTCTTTCATCAGTGATTTAAAGTTTTCATTAAAGAGATCTTTTCACCACTTTGGTTAAATTTATTCTTAGATATTTTGTTTTCTTTATAGCTATTGTAAGTGGGATTGCTTTTTAAATTTCTTTTTTCAGCTATTTCATTATTGGTGTATAAAAATGCTACCAATTTTTTGTATGTTGATTTTCCATAACTTTACTAAATTTATCAGTTCTAAGAGTTTTTCTGTGGAACTATATATACACACATACAGATTTTTATATATATATATATACATATATATGTGTGTGTGTGTGTGTGTATATACACACACACACACACACATATATATGTATATGGGTATATATGTAGAGTCATATCATTTGTAAATAGTAACTGTTTAACTTCTTTCATTCCAATTTAAATGCCCTTTCTTTTGCTTTTGTGCTCTGGTTAAGACTTCCCTGTGATTTTTTTTTTTTTAAATACTAAGGTTGCCAGTTTCCTTGGTTGGTATAATGCATGAGTGCATTGCGTATGCACAGACATATATGCACACTCAGAGATGTGCATGTACTCACGTGTTCACACTCATGCACGTATACATGCAGAGCATGTACCATGCTTCCACAGTGGAGGTGGAAAAAGGGTCTACACCAGTCAAGAGGGTTGGGCTGACCCCACACAGTGGGGTGTTAAACCCAGGAGACCTTAGGGTTCTCCTTTCTGACCCATGACCAGTCCTCCTGCCTTTCAGACTTGAGTCTTAGGTCTGAAAACCAGGGCAGCAGTTATGGATGTTGGCACTGGGAGGCAGAGAAGTCCTCCTGTGGAGACTGAACCCACAGTCTCTTCTGGGAGTGGGGGCACTTGCCTGGGGCAGGGCCCATCTCTATTTCCTGACAGCAGGAAGGGACCCTTGGGCTGGGATTAGGTGGCCTCTGCCTATCCCAGGGTCTCACTTTCCTCATTTGAGAAGTGGGGTTCAGCATGTTACATGGGAAGACACAGGAGAGCTGAGGGGGGCCCCCAACCTCAGGGCTGCCACATCCTGTGCCCTGACCCTGTCTGGGACCAGAGATCCCTGTGCTCTGCCTGGCTGGGCTTGTCATAACAGGGTGCAGATGGCGGTGATCTGCCCAGCAGGGAGGTGAAGAACACTTTCAGGGGAGAGGTGCCACAGGGTCTCTGCCCACAGCCCCTGGGTTGGGTATGGACATTGAGGTGCAGGGCCTTGGTGAAGGCCCAGTTTCCTCCTCTGGGCTGCTGTCCCCCAGTGTGAGCATGGTGCCCGTCAGCTGATTGACCTCACACCAGGCGCTGAGCATGAGGCCCTCTCACAGGCCCAGCCCTGTGGAACCAGCACACGGTCACTCATGTCCCTCTCTGCCCTTGAGGAGGCCACCAGGTCAGTACCATGTGTTTCCCACTCCAGCCCTCCCCAGCCCTGTACACACAGATGGACCACACCAGAGTCACACTTTATTCCAGGATGTGACACAGGGCAGCAGGACACCTGGCCTAGGGAACCCTCTCCTGGTTCCCTTGAGGGCCTGTCCAGGGCTCCCCTGGGCACTGCTTGGTAGAGCTGAGTAAGGACCGGGGCTGCCAGGTGCATCCCCCACAGACACGCTCCACCAGGCCCATCCTGCATGGGTCCCATGCAAGGCCAGCCCTTGGAGCCGGACGTCCTGGAAGGAGATCAGGTGAGAAATAAATACAAGCTGGCTTTAACTACTGGCCTGCCAGCAGCAAGCTGGGGTCCAGGTGGGAGATGCCTGAACTTCCCCCAGGAAGGGGTTGGGGTTGGAAGAGGTGTGGGCTGGGCTGCAGGGCCACTCCTGCCTCTGGTGGCCTTACAGTGGCTCAGGCCACTATCTTCAAAGGGTTTGAAGACCTCAGGGTCAGGGCCGGTGGATATGGGTCACTGGTCAGCGCTGAGCACCAGGCTGGGCATGTGGAGATGCCCAGCAAGCTGACGGGCAGCCGCACAGCCTCCGGCAGCAGGTCGCTGGGTCGCCCCAGGCAGCGCTTGGCAGCCCCTGGCTGACCCTTCCGTGTCTCCTTCCCACTCCTGGCCGTGGCCCCTGGGGGAGGGGGGGCGGAAGCACAATTGCAGGGGAGGCTCTAGCCAAGGGTTGGGGGGCCAAGACCTTGGCACACAGCTTACTCTGCCCAGAAAACCCCAACAACCCCCGGCCAGGTGAGCTCCATGAGAAGGGCTGTGTCCACTCTAGCTCACAGGCCCCCAGGACTGACAAAACAGGTGCTCAATAAATACTTGGGGGAGGAGGGGAGGCCCAAGCCAGGGTTACTGGGCTGAGTCGGGGCAGGACAGAATGGGAGGGGTAGGCATGCGGCCAGTCCCAAAGCCCCCAGAAGCCAGGCCAGACCTGCTGCCCGCTGTCCACGCTAGCCCAGCCATGCTGGTCACGGTGGGGATCCTGCTCTGAGGCCTAGGGAGTCCCTTAGGTGGGGTAGGTGGCAGGGAGAATTAATAGGGCCTGCTTCTGAGCCGAGAGGGCCAGGAGACAGGGAGGAGAGCAGGTCGGCTGGGCGTGGTCAGCAGTGGCATGACGGGGTCAGAGGTCAGGCCAGGCCCAGGGCCGAATCTGCTTGCGATGAGGTTCCAGAGAAACATATCCTAGTGGCTGAAGCTCAGGCCCCACCTGGCCATGCCCAGGGCTGCCCTGAGGAGCAGCATGGAGACTGAGCCAGGGCCTCCTTGGGACGCCCAGCTGCTTCTGTCCACAGGCCCCCGCGGTCCAGCTGCCTCCTCACCAGCCATGTCTCAGTGAATCCAGTGTCCTCAGGCCTCCGGACCAGTTCTTGCTAGGGTTTATGCTTGAAGTGGGCTTCCACTGGAAACGGGAGTGGCATTCAGCCTCGTCATGGCCACAGGGAGAGTGGCCAGCCCAGTCCCTGCCACCCTTACAGCCCACCTGAGTCTTGTTTTTTAAGAGATTTTTGATATAGGGCACACTCGCCAAAGAGAGAGAAAACAAGAAATCACCTCCTAGGGGGAATGGCCACGCCACAGTCCCTTCTCTTGCGCTCTCTTGGGATCTTGGGCACGCATGCACACATGTGCGCCCATCGTGAGTTTCAAGCCGCCAGGTCTGAAACTCGAACCAAGGTCAGCTGTGTAGGAGTCCAGCACCTTAACCGTTATGCCACATGCTGGCCCCGGGCCTTTTTCCCTTTTTAGGTTTTTGCCATAGGGCATGTGTGCTCATAGGAGAGGGACAGAGAGGGGGAAATGAGAAATCACTCCCCGGGGGTGACGGCCTTGCCACAATCCCTTCACCATTCTCCTCTCAGGATCTTGGGCACACATGCACCTGGCGTGATCTACAAGCCACCGGTCCAAGACTTGAACCTCAGTTGGCCATGTGGGAATCCAGACCCCAACCACCATGCCACCTGCTGGCCCCCTACTTGGCTTGTTCATTCAGCTGCAAGAGGCGAGGGTGGACACACCCTCACCCCTGGGAGCCCTGAGTGGCCCAGCCCCAATCTGTCTCCCACTGGCCCTCCCGTGGCCTCACCTGCGTACTCCTGAGGCAGCATGGGCCTGTCCACCACCTTCTGAAACGCCTCCACCCACTCCCTCTGGTCCAATTCTGTCTCGCAGGTGAACAGGAACTTGCGGTCAGGTGTGACAATGGTGATGCCATGTGGCCAGTGATGGCCCTGGGTGGACGGTGGGAGCCCCTCCAGCACCGTGTAGCCGCTCTCCTTGCTCCCAATGAATACCTCACCTCTGGCGAAGGCGTCCTGCAGGTGGGGACCAAGATGGAGTTAGGGGCTAGAATCCCCTCCCCAGGAGGGACTAAGGCTATTCTTTCTGGCCACTTCCTCTCCAAGCCGAGCTTTGCTCACGCCAGGGGAGACTCAGCGGCCGGAGCCCTAGGAAGGCCAGCCCCTCCCTCCTGGGCAGCAAGGCCCCCTGGCCTGGAGCTGCTCTGGGCCTTCGCCCTTCCTCACCAGGGGATCTTTGAAGTACATGAGCCTGCGGTCATCCATGGTGAACCAGCGCTTCCGGAAGCCTTCTGTTTGCTGTGGGGCAGAGAGGGCCAGTGACCAGGTGGCCTACTGAGGCCGGCCATGATGCCCTCCCGCCGATGCCAACTGCATACCCTGGCAGCATCTTCTGAGTAACCTCCAACTGCTGTGGTCTGATGCCACAGCTCACAGCCCCCACAGGAGGCAGGGCGCTGCGCGCTCACTCTTGCCTCCTGAGCCACGTGGCCAGCGTGTGCACCAGGCAGCTGCATGCGAGGCCTGGCACATGCTGTTCTGCCTTCTAGCTCCTCCCTTGTGCACGTCCTTGTCCCCAGCTCTCCCCGTGGGACCCGGTGGGATTTGGGCCTCAGTCACAGGCCCCCCTGTACCAGCACTTCCCCCAGAGAGCATGTCTCAGCTTTGGGTTCTGGGACTCTTTCTCCACCCTCCCCCACAGATAGCAGGGAATGGCAGGGTGTGCACACTCAGCCACACAGATACACGGGTCCTTGCCAAAGAGCCAGGCCAGTGGCCTGGATCAGCCAGGACCTCTGTCAAGCACAGAAAGGGGACGGTCAGAAGGACCAGTCTGACATTGAGCCACCCTTAATATTTCCGGGGCCAGGTCCACCCACACCAAAATCTCTTGATTAAAAACACAGGCAGAAAAAAAGAACACACAAACACAGGCAGCCCCTGGGAAGGTCACTAGCACAGCAGACCAAGGCCCACCATGACCTGCCCCAATGTTGCATGCCATGGCCTGGGCCCCTTCTAAGCACCTCTGTCCCTCAGGCCTGGGGAGCCTTGGGCAGTGTAGCCCAGCACCCCACCCCCTGCCCGCATCACCCCCAGACTCACCTTGGGCCCAGTTTTCTCCATGTAGCCTTCCTTCAAGTAATTCCTGGAGAGCTTCGGCACCAACTGGGGCAAAATGCGCACAGCCAGGCAGGGAAGGTGAGGCCAAGGCCCTTCCCCAGGCTGCGCTCCCCCCATGCACCCAAGCCTGGTCCTGCTCCCCTCCTTTTTTTCCCTTCCCTCTCCCAGAGTCTGGCTCTGCCTCCTCTCCCCTTCTTTCTCCCCACTGCCGCTGAGCTTGGAATGCCCAGAATGAAGCGGGAAAGCTGTGGGCATCTTAGGGCAGGGCTCTCCCCTTGTTCAGTCCCCTGACCCTCCACAGGACTCAAAGCCATCCCTGACTAGGGGGCACTAGGGCTGAGATGTCCACCTCCCTGTGCCCCCCAGCCCCGGGAGGAGACCATAGAGCAGCCACTCACATCTGCATCGCTGGCCCCTGGGAACGCCACCTGCAGGTAGTGGAAGCGGGCAGCTCGGAGTGCGTTGAACCAGTCCACGATCTCCTGAGGGTCAAAGGCTGGGGTGGGCCGTGGCCAAGGGGGAGGGTACAGGGCCCACCCACCAGCAGAAGCTGTGAGGGTGCCACACAACTTTCTTGGGCACCTCTAGATTCATCCCATCCCCTTAGTTCTGGCACCCCACAGTCAGTCCTGATGTAGGCTCCTGGCTAGCCCCCACGAGGGTCCTTCTGCCCCCGCCATCATACACCTGTGCCAAGGTGAGAGCCACCACAGACAGGAGCCACCCCTTGGGCAGGGGACTCACTGTGTGTACAGGCTGGACTGGGAGGTAGCCTGGTGTGTAGGAGGCAGGGGAGGGCTGGGGGAGGGGAGTTAGGCTGGCCCCACCACCCGGCACTGCCATGGGCCCTGGCCCAGCCTTTCCTCCTTGCAGATCATACTATTTTTATGAGGATCCTTATTTTGTAGCTGGCACAAGTCTGGTGGAGGGAGAAGGGAAGCGCCTCTATTTATAAACCAACTTGGAACTGCCTCCCTGCGCCCTCAGAGGGCACAGCTGCTCCCCCAGGGAGATGGGGGGTGTGCTGGGGTCCTGAACAGGAGGAGGCCAAGACCCTTGGCAGTGGGCCCCTCTGCCAGCCCCTCCGGTCCTAGCCACAGCCTGGAGCCAGTCATCCTGTAAAGAGGGCCAGCTCCAGGAGTCAGGGCCCCTACCCACCCATGGCCATTTCAGGCAGAGGCTGGAGTCTCCCCAGGCCCTCTGTTGTGCTTTGTCCTGCTGAGGACAAATACCCAACCCTGGTCAAACTCAGCCACCCACATGGCCCTCAAACACCTAGCAGAGCCCAAAGCCAAGGACGAGTCATCTCTGTGTGTGTGTTGGGGGGGGTGCAGCCTTGGCCCCTCCCTGAGCACTGGCATCAAGAGTATGACCCTGCAGGGGGCGGCCCTCTGTCCACCCCCCTCCTCATCACACCTGATCCAGCTTGCCTCCTATGACCTGTTAATGCCCACGGGATTTTTTTTTTTTCTGCTGTCTTTCTTTTTGTTTGTTCCTTTGTTTTCGTTTTTTGCCATAGGGCATGTGCAGTCCCAGAGAGGGACAAGGGAAAGTGAGAAATCACACACACGCCCCGGGGGAATGACCACACTGCAATCCCTTCTCCATTCTCCTCTCATGTACACTTGCCTGGCGCCATTTTCAAGCCACCAGGTCCAGGACTCAAAGCAGCCAGCCACGTGGGAAGCCAGCACCTTAGCCACCAGGCCGCCACCTGCTGGCCCCAGGGGTTTTCTGTTAGAAGCCTAAACCCTTAAGATGGGGAGAACAGCCTGAGTGCTGGCAACTGGCCAGCAGATGGCAGGTGCGACTTCGGAGACCCCGGACAGCTGGCTCCTTTGCTAGAGGCGGTTGAAATGCATCCGATTTCTCTGGCCCCACTCCCAGAGGCCTCGCCAAGGGACACCTCTTGGTCTCTGTGGGCGGTGAGGGGGCTCTGGGCAGAAGGGATTGAAAAATGGAGGGGTCCAGCCAGCAGGTGGTATAGTGGTTAAGACGCTGGACTCCCACATGGCCAGCCATGGTTCGAGCCCCAGATCCAATGGCATGAAAGTCATGCAGGCGCGAGTGTGCATGTGCCCAGAATCCGAAGAAGAGAACAGCGAGAAAAGGATTGCGGTGTGGCCATCCTTCCTGGCGTGTGATCTCTCGCTTTTTCCCCTCTCTGTCTCTCTGGCGAGCACACGTGTCCTATAGCAAAAATCTCTCTGAAAAGACAAAAAAGAGAAATGGAGGTGTACTCTCCGGGGAAGGTAGAAGGGGCTGTGGCAGGTGCGGGTGTGTGCGTGTGGCACCCTTCCGGGGACAGCACGGGCCTGGGCCGCGTACGCCCTGAGCGCTGAGGCCCCGCCGCGCCCTCCTCAGCCCTCACAGGGCAGGGCTCGCGGGGCAGGGAGATCTCAGGACACTGATGCGTCTCAGACCCCAGAATCCCTGGAGACGTTTCTCACACGGAAGACAGCGAACCACACAGCAGATCTCTCAGGGATAAGAAAGCTTCGAAAATGGACAGTTAGAGGTAAGATACTACGATCACGAGACAAGAGCAGGGTTTGGAAAAGGGACATTCCGAAAACAAAAGGAGCTCTGCAAAAGGAGAATTCTAGGGGCAGCAATGAGACCCTCAGCAGAAGAGTTGGGAGACGTTGACGAAATGCTCGTGGGAAGAAAGATTCTGGAAATAGAAGAGAAATGAATGAGAAGACTTGTCTAAGAGCCGGCAGAATAGAGAAAGGGCATTATAAGAGAAAAACCGGAGAAAACACTCCCTGATCCAATACCCAGACACGAGTGAGCAGACTGGAAGGGTGACGGCCAAGGCGAAGCCTCGGAAATGACTTTTTGTTCCCTGGGGACACACTGGCGCTCAGGGTCGGGGTTCAAAGGGTGGGAGTGCGGAAGGAAGCTGCCACCTAGGGCTGTGTGCCCACCCAGCTCTGAGTCGAGTGGAAGAACGTCACAGGCCTGAGGTCTCAGGCAGCGCCCCAGGCGTGCTCGGGGTGTCCACCGCAAGGAGGACGTAAACCAAGAAAGACCCAGAAACAAAGTCGACCCAGCAGGGCGACGAGGCTCAGGCCAGGTAGCTCCAGAGCGCTTCCATCCGCAGGGTGCCTGGGGTGTCTGCAGGATCCAGAGACTCACACAGCTGCGGAGGGTCTGGGTGAGCACGCAGGTAACCACGGGAGGCGGGGGCTATTAACTCTAGGGAAACGTGCAAGCAGGACAGGAGAAAGGAGAGTTCGCGCCCTGCTCAGGGTGCCTAGCATCTTGCAGGCACGATAATGTAAACCGGGTATCAGCGTGAGCAGATGCAAGCTGAGACTAGGCACCGGCCCCTGCGGGGACACCTGAGGGAGCTGGAGCTCATTCCCAGTGAGAAGTCACCAGATGGAGCCGAGAACGGACAGCCTGGTGGCGCTGGAGTGGCATTTATAGACATGGGGCCGAATTCCGGAAGGATCCGTGCGAACAAGGGAGAGGTGGGTTGCCTCTGGAGAAGAGGGGATGGGGTGAGGAGGAACCTCAAACTTATTTCTAATGCCTCAGAGAACTGTTTAACCCTTAAGCCAGTTACCATACTTTTGGTAGAAATAGAAATGAAACCAAAGTAACGCTAAGAGGACAGCCCAGCGCAGGGCAGGGTAGAACTGGAGTGAGTGCTGCTGGGGCTGTCGAGGTTGTGCCAGCTTGGGGTGGGGGTGGATGCTGAGGGCTGAGGTGCCGTCCCCCAGAAGAACCAAAGGGACCCCTAGCCAGCCCCAGAGCCAGCTGCCCCCCTTCCCGTCCATGAGGGACTCATTTTCCCAAAGGGCCCCCTCACTTACAGCCCAGAGCAGCAAGCAGCAGACATCACTGGGTGAGATGCAAACCCGCGTGGGCAGGATGGGCTCCCCCAAAACAGCACGGGCCACCCCGGTCCTGGCAGCACAGCCCATGCACCCTACCTTCCCGTCCTCGTGGTAGATGAAGATGTTACGAGTGCTGTTGTCCTTCAGATAGGTGACCTGCAGGCCATGGGGGTGGCCGATCTTGGCTGGCTGGAAGGTAGCATTGAGGTGCTCGATCTTCATGATGGCCTTGGGCTCCTTGGCCTGGGAAACGAGGCTGGGTCAGAGCACCAGGCAGAGGCCCGCCATTCTCCAATCTCAAGGAAGCAGAAAGGGTGGGCTCTCTGGATGCTGACAGTGTACCTGCTGTGCTGTACTGTGCTGTGCGACTTTGGGCAAGTTATTTAACTTCTCTGAGCCTCAGCGTCCTGGTCTGTAAATCGAAGGTATCAGTATCTCCCTACTGGGGGATGATGAGGGCTCAAGGACATTATGCAGCCACGTGGGTGCTCGATATCTGGGTAGACCTCCCCTTCTCTGCCCATTCTGTGCCCCCACCCTAATTCTTCCACTCTCCCTACCCCCGGCTCCCCTGCCTGCCAGCCAGGGTTCCTGCCCTGATTCCTTCATCTCCTTGCACTGGTGCCCTTTGGCAGTGTGCCAGGCTGCTGCTTCCTCCTTGCGCCAGGCCCTGGATGCTGCCCTTGGAGGGACAGCCCGTGCTGCGTGCAAGCCCTTCACAAGGGCTGTCCTGGGGCCAGCACCCCCAGCAGCTCCGCGGTGCGGCCCACAGGCAGCACAGAGATGGGCTCAGCAGAGAGCACACTGCCCAAGGCCAGCCTGGGTCTCTCCTGAGCTTGGCCACATGTCCCAGCAGTCCTGGGGCTGCTTGCTCTCCCCAGGGCACCCACAGGGGAGGGGAGACTTCCTGGGGTCCTAGCTGACTCCAGAGGGGCTGTGCAATAAGCTGTCTCCCTCCCCAACCCCCCCCTCCCCAGGCTGGGCCTGAGCTCAGGGACCTGTCCCGCTTCCCCGGCCTTCAGGCTTGGAGCCCACCAGGGACCACTTTCCTGATGCCTTGGAGCTGGGTGGGCGCTGAGCAGGCCTGAGCAGGAGACAGACTCCATGAGGACTGTAGCTGCTACCGTCACCTTGGGGCCCAGCATGTGACTGGGCACGCAACAGCTCCCAGTGGGCGCTAATGAATGGAGGGAGGGCAGAGGGGCCGGAGTCCAGGGGTGCTCCGACTCAGAGCTCCCAACCCCAGAGGGGTGGCCCCTTGATGCCAAAGGTCCCAGGGCAAGGGCCTTTAAACAAGCCTTACTGAGGACTGGCCCCAGGGAGCCAGTTCCTGTGAACTCATGGGTTGCTGTCCCTTTCCCGGGTGCTAGGAGCAGCAGAGTGGGGCTGGCTCATGCCTGCACACCCAACTCCCCCACCCGCACACAGGAGCCTGAGGGCCCCTGGCCCCTGGCCCCAGCTCTCGTGGACCCAGCCCTGCACCTGCACCCGGGGAGCCTGGAGACAGCTGCCCCTGGTTACCTGTCCTCACCTGGCTGTTCCCCCTGCCCAGTCACTTCCTGGGAGCCTGGGGGTAGCAGGGTTGGGCCCAGGGTTGCCCCTAGATGTGCTTGCTGGGCAGAGTGATGGCTGATCACGCCACTGCCCTGCCCCTGTAGGCCCCAGGAGATCTAAGCAGGGAAGGGCCCTTCCCAGCATCACCTTGCTCAGGCCTGGCTTCCAGGAAACCCAGGCAGTAACTGGTCAAGAGGTGGACGGGGGGGTGGACCCATGTGCGTGTGTGCACTCCCTGGCGGGGGGAGGCCCACGGGGTGGGAGCAGGGCTCCGGGGAGTTGCACGAGGGTCCCTGAGGACAGGGCCCTGCTGTCCAGGGGCCGATATCCAGCCAGTGCAGGCCACCCCACCAGGGACAGGTGCCCACTCCTGCCCCATGCCTACTCACGTCGTTTCTGTTGAAATACTTAAGGGCACCCTCTCGTTCTGTCAGCACAAACTTCCGACTTAAAAACTGCCCGTTGTCCCGGCCACGCTTCCAGAGAAAGCCCTCGCGGTACCCTGCGAGGAAAGAGAAGGGACAGAAGTCAGGGATGGTGACCAGGGAGGGGAGAGGGGCTGGAGAGAGGGAGAGGTCGGGGGTTAGAGGGTGATGGTGGGCCAGGGCCATTGGCCACTGCCCAGAAGGACCCGAAGCTCAGGCCAGACTCGCCCACAAGAGCTCAGGCCCGGGCAGCCACCACCTCCCGCCAGGCTGCCGTCGGTGCTGTCCTGAGGCTAGTGTGCACATAGTCCTGGAGCACACGTCTGCACATACAGGTGCACACGCATGACCACCTGTGCGGAGCAGAAAATGGCCCTGCCAGACACCCAGGCCCCTCAGCACCTGGCAGGTCACCTAACATGCAAAGGGGCCTCCAGGTGAGGCCAAGGGTGTTGAGCCGGGAGACTCCCGGATCACCCACATGGGCTCAGTGCCGTATCATAGGTGGCTGAGATTTGAGAACCAAAGTAGGGGAGGCTGTGTGGCCATGGAGCCAGGCCAGCACTGTGGCCACCAGCAGCTGGGAGATGCAGGAAGGGCCTCCCAAAGCCTGTGGGACCCAGCACTGCCCACCCCGCCTTTAGCCTAGGAGCTGGTTATGGCTCAGAGCCATGTAGGAGCGAGAGCGTGCTGCCATGCTACCTCATCGTGTGACTCGGATGTCACCACTTGGGCAGTCCCTCCCACCCAGCCCTGCTTTCACTGCCATCGCCACCGTGCCGACATGCTCCTGTCCTGTCCACCGGGCCTTAGCACCCCGTGCCAGGTGACCAGACCCCAGACTGTCCCACCACTCCAGCTGCTTCACTCCGTGCTGCATCCATGGAGACCCGTGTGTCACCGCATGGGCTGGCCACGGCCTGCCACGCATCAGTCAAGGGACATTTGGGCTGCTTCTGGATCTCGGTCTCAATCAGCCCTGCTGGGAAGTCCTGAAGCATCCTCAGCAGACACGCCCTGCTGCCCTGGGGTGCCCTTCCGGGGACTGCTGGGCTGCACAGGAGTGGGGCTCCCCCGCTGGGCTCCAGCAAGAGCTGCCCACTGCCCACATGGTCTGGGCGCCGTGAGTGCAGCTCGGGGCTGGGGGCTGCTGTCTGTGAAGACGTCATCTGGACATGGGGCCTCTCCTGCACGTCACCGCTCAGCAGCCACCAGAGCCGGACCCCGACAGCCTGGGCTGGCTTGTCACTCGGCCCTCACCACCAAGCCTCCCCCACACCCACGTCCCCTCAGCTGCCCAGGGAGCCCCATCCCTGACATCAGAGACAAGGGGCTATTTTCTCTGTTCTCTGAGACAAGCAGCCATAAAAAGACGGCAGCCTGGCGTCGGGGAGGGGGCAGCTGGCGCCACTGGGACAAGGCCTTGGCCTCACTCGGATGGTGCCAGATGGTGTGTGCTCCCTCCCCACCACCCCTAAGGTTACCTATGGCTCGCGAGCCTGTGGCGAGGCTGAGCCCCCACCCCCACCCCCTTGCACCCAGCACCAGCAAGCAAACCTCCGTGGGTGCAGGACATAGCCACCGATATGTCCCTCGAACCAACAGGGCCTACTCAGAATGTTTGTTGACTGACAAAATGAGCACCGTGGCTCTTCAGCATCAAGGCCTGGACCCTCTGGACATCGCCTCGTTTGTACTCAGAATCTCCAGGCTCATCCTGTTCTAGGATGGGGATTGGCCATTTTAGAGATGAGGAAACCAAGGCTCAGAGACGTGAAGTGCCTGGTCTGAGGCCACCTCCCCAGCAAGAGCTGGAGTTGGCTGGGTCTGGGTCTGGGTGACTCCCCAGCCCACCTCACTCCCGACTCAGCAGGACTCAGGTCCAGCCTGCCAGGCAGGGGAGGCGTTCCAAGCCAGGATAAGCTGTTCCTCCTGCCCCTGGCACTCCTTCAGTGACCAGCAGATGGCAGCATCGCCCCAGGGAGCAGTGACAGCGGAGGGAGCTGTGGGCGAGGCCACTCCAGCACTGGCCGACTCGGACCACTCCCCTGCGAGAGCCCCAGGCTCCTGTCTTGCAGAGCGCGGTCCCCAGGCAGCTTCGTTGACACTCTCCCAGCCCAGGGGTGCAGCACAGAGCGCCAGGCTTGCCAGTCTGTCTGGCCTTCCCGACTGCCAGCCGCCAGGACACCCAATTTCAGGCAGCAAGACAAACCACAAGAGTGGTATTTTCGGAAGGGCTGGCCAGGGTCCCTGACTGGCCCTCACCCTGCAAGACAGCCAGCCCCACGCTGTGTCCAAACCTCTCTGAGCCTGCACTTCCCTCTCGGTGACATGAGAACATGACCGGCCCACAGAGCAAGGCTCTGCCCTGGCCTGACACGCCTTCACCACATGCCACCCCTCTGGCGCCTCTGCTGTGCTGGGAAGGCCCGAGTCTCACTGATGGCCCCACCTCTGCAGATCCCAGACTCCAGGCTCTGCTGTCCTGCACAGCACCAGCCACAGGCCTGCAGGGTCTATGCCTTCCCAGTTCCAGCCCCTCCCCATGTCGCCTGCAAAAGGGGCCTCTCCAGGCCACACCTCCTAGGGCCCGGCACACAGTCACACCCTCCTGGGCACACTCAAGCCTGGCTCTGTGCCCCAAAGGACTGGCCAGTCCAGGACAAAGGCCAGACGGCCCAGTCAGCATTAGCTGTACGCCTACCATGTGTCTGTACCTACAGTGTGCTGGGGCACTAGAGGGGCCTGTCCAAACCCCACTCCACTCAGCTGCCTCTTCTCCACAATCTGTGTGTGGAATGCGTGAAATTAAGTGCATGAAAAGATTCTTGGCCAAAGGGCCAGCAGGTGGCCCGGTGGTTGAGGTGGCCGGATCCCATGTGACTCACGATACAAACCCTGGAGCTGGTGACTTGAAAAACATGCTGGGTCCATGTGTACGTGTGCCCAAAATCCCAAGGAGAGAATGGAGGAGAAGGGATAGCATCGTGGTTACCCCGCCCCCTAGTGGAGGCTGCTTTCTCATTTTCCCTCTTTTTCTCTGTTTCTGGAGGGCTCACATGCACATGCCCCACGGCAAAAATTGAAAAAAAAAAAAAGATTCTCAGCCTCCAGAACAGCAAGACCAAGCCAATGTGCAGTGTGGGCAAGAGTGCAGGACGGCGGACCCTCTGCCTCGCCAGGAGGGACAGATGACACGGCTCCTGGAAAACAGCTCTGTGGCTCTGTATAAAGCTAAACACGCACTTAGCGCATGACCCAGAGAGAGGCGACGATCTGCAAGTGAAACCTGCATTCGAGGGAACCAGCAGTTAGCGTAATGGCTATGTCGCTGGACTCCCATGTAGTTGACCACGGTTCGTGTCCCAGACCCGGTGGCTTAAAACTCACGCTGGGTGCGCGTGCGCGCATGCCCAAGATCCCGAGAGGAGAATGGAGGAGAAGGGATTGCGGCATGGCCATCCCCCCTGGGGGGTGATTTCTCGCTTTCTGTCTCTATGTCTCTGTCTGTCTGGTGAGCGCACGTACCCTATAGCGAAAATCTCTCCAAAAAAAAAAAAAAAAGAAACCTGCATTCGCCTAAAGCCTGTGCCCTGTGCATACGTGGCTTTCCTCATGACCAGGAACTGCAAACGCCCCACGGTTCTCAGCAGGGGACAGACAAGCAAACCACGGTCCCCCCGCCACAGAATAAAGGGAAGGACTGCCAATCCAACACAGAATAAAGGGAAGGCCGGCCAATCCAAGTGAGGTCAGCCCCCCCCCCCGGGTGCACCATGCTGAGCGACACAGAGCCAGCCTTCAAGGCGACACACTGGTTGCAGCCCCCTGCCGTTCTGGGACAGGAAGGCCATGGGGCCGAAGGCACAATGCGGGTCTCGGGGATGAGAGGGGATGTTGCAGAACGGGCTGGGTGATGGGACTATTCTCTACCTTGCGTTTATCACAGCTCAAAGAACTGTACTCTAAATAGGATATGCAAAGCATATGTAAATGACACCACATGCATGTAAATTATACTTATTTTTATATTTACACTGGGGCTGGGAACCATGTGGCCTTTCTCTGAGGGTGACAGTAAGGCTTGCCAGGCAGTGGGCAGGCTAGGCTTTCTGTACCCAGAGCGCCTCTATGGGACCCTCCAAGAGTGGGAGAGAGCCTCCACCCTGCTGCTGTGTCCTGCCTGATACAGGGACGCCCTGGTGGTCGGGCCTCTGCGATGTGGCCAGGTCCTGAGGAGGCACCAGCGAAACCAAGGTCCTGTTGACCCCACTCCGGCCATCCCCCAAACGCCAGGACCTGGCTTCCAGGGCTTCAGGTTCTGGCTGCTTCTGTCCTACCTCAAGAGATTGATGCTGCAGCTCCCAGCAAGGCACGCAGTCGGAGGCCACGTCTGCGAGCCCGCCCAGGGCTCTGCCTCTGCCTGCCCAGTGCCCGGGCTCCAGTCACCTGCACGCTGTGTGGCCCTGCTGACCCACCAACACACCCGCCCGGGCTGCAGCCCGTCTGGTTGACAGGGGAGGCTGTGAACCAGATCTGCACTCTGCGGAGAATTCTGGGGGTCTAGCTCTACCCCTGCGGCAGCCAGCATGGGTAAGCTCCCGCAGACAGGACGCACCACCTGGCTGCTGGGATCTCGTAGTGAGAACTAAACCCCAGCAGGCAGAGAAGTCCCGCACAGATGGCAGGGGGGCTGAGACCTCAGGACCATCTGTTCAGGGCCTCCTTAGCCCTCGGCCACGTGCTGGTCCCCAAGTAGCCCCTGCTCCTAGAAAAGCCAACTTTGAAGAGGGATTACAGCCTTGAGGACTGAGCCCTGTCCGCTCAGTTCAGGCTTCACATGCCCTCGGCCCCCAGCCCTGATTCTGGGGCCAGTTCCTATCCCCATCCTCATACCCACCCCCTCGGCTGCCCCCTTATGGGGGAGGTCATCCCTCAGAGAAGCAGGGCCTGGCCCCAGCTGGACTGGGCAGGGGTCACAGGGTCTACGTCCACTGCTGCCCTGGGGTAGTAGACCTCTCCCCTGCTGGGTGCTCCTTGGATTAAAGCAGGGGTTCAGGTCTTTCTCCCAAGGAGC